GACGCGGGTGTGACGCAGGTGGAAGTTGATCACTATTACCGTTGAACAGTAAAAAGCCACTGGTCAATTAATCCTAGTTGATAATTAAATTGGTCCAACGAAACGGACCATCTTAATGGTTGTTGGATGATTCCACAAAATTGTTGGGCCGACCGATTTATTGTCCTGTATTTTTAAATCGGGGGCAAAGTTTTACTTCAAAACCGCACCTGGGTCGACGGATTCGCACTGCTAATGTGACCCAACCAGGTCGAAACAGCTGTCCAATGCTTCCTAGCTTTTCAGTTCACATTTCATTTGCTATTTACACGACGAATACACCTTTGAAATTGAACCAAACCCTCCACTACTCACTTATTGTAAAATCGTATGTATTGTATGTATGTATGTATGTATGTATGTATGTATGTGTGTATGTATGTATGTATATATATGTGTATGCATGTATGTGTATACACCGGCATACAAAAAAAACCTCTACCGTTTTCATTATTATATGTCTACCCATCTTTACCGTTCAATGAATATCGTCGATAATATCCATCAACGAATCCTTATTCGATTTTAAAGCACACCGACGCGTCCACAATTAGTACGCGAAAGCCACCAAAACATTTTTATTTTGGGAACAAACATGAATATCTTTGAGTTACAGCTTCTTCATCGGTCTGTCTGAAAATGGCCGCCCACATCCCCGGTATGCGTGCACGCACAATCAAGGACGGTTTTTATGCTATAAATAGGAAATATGTGGGCCGGGAAGGCTTCGGTTTAATCTGTCTATTTTTGGTACATTCCGGTCTGAAGTTGATGTAAACATATTTATCATGAAGTTGTTGTTTTTTCTCTTGTTTTTGCCACGCCCCTTTCAATTCAACCAAATGGGACTCGTTTGATTTCTGCACAGGCAACATTTGCTACACGGAATGCGCTTCAGTAAACAATGAAACAGGAACTGGTGAAAATAGCTCCTAAAACAAAAGAAGGTTTTGATACGGAGACCACGCAAATACACTGATGCTTTTCTCCAGTTTGCTTGGGAGCGCATTGACAAAGTGGATCACTGTGAACATCTACCAACATAAATTTGAACCAATAATCGTTTTTCATTGAAAAAACTAATGTATAAATGTGCAATATTGATTACACTCTTTTTTGATGATGTAATTTGCTTCTGAATTTAGTCCCATAAATATATCTGTATATTTGGAATCAACATAAAGAGAACATTATTACAGACAAGTTGCGTCTGATGTAGGATAATATCATACGTTCAGTCCCGTGAATAAGTCTCGAAACACTAAGTCTTGAGAGGAACAAATGTGATGCAAATTAGAGTGTTGAACGATTTTTATCAATACCTGTAAATACACATAATTTTAATTGCAAGGCTATCAGATTTTGGGCAACGATATTGGACGACTGATTCACAGACTAACGATTTCCTGGTTAGCTTACATCTGTTGGTGAATGCCGTAATTTTTCAGTGATGTCAGGCACACGTTATCATTTATCCATGACATCAGACGGAATTCATGCTTTGTTCGGTGGTTTTTGACTATTACAACTAAATTAGTAGGAGTTCATCAGTCGGCCGTGCACAAAAGAAAAAGATTTTCGCAAAAAGGAACTATCTTCAAGTACTAATAGCGAATCAAATAGGTTATATATGCAAGTAGACAATCTTGTATAATTTCGTGTATTAGACGTCGAATTCGTCTGATTACGTGCATTTTCCCTCAGCACATTTTTCGCCAAACGAGTTGAAGCCCAATAAAACGGGGAGGGATATTAAAGTGTTTAACGTAAACTAACGGAATATTTATCGATCCATTTTGAATTCGTCAAGCTGTGGGCAACGAGGGATCCGATAATTAGCATCAAGGTAGCAGATCCAACTGGAAACACGTTTGTGTCTTCCAGTTTCCGTTGGCAATCTGATTGATTGCTCTCGAACCACATCGGAACAAGTCATGTTACATTTACCGAAATTTAACTAGAAGACGGCAGGAAAACTGCTGCTGCCATTTGGCTGTTGGCCGATATTGTTTTCTCAAACGAGCTATAATGCGAATGAGAAAATACGCTGATTGACGAATGAGTGCGTTCTGCTTGACTTTAGATTTTGAGTAGGGCTCTATTCATTGGTTTGGATGCATTGTGAAACAAATACCCTTAAGATAGAAGTGACCCCTTTCACAAATAATTCGTTTGTTAGCTGGATTTGGTGAAACAGCCCCACATGGACGGCTTCGATTTTTAGATTAAATATTCACTTTGATAGATTTTAGAATAATATTCACCTTGTTCAAGAAATGGCATAAATAAAGTAGTTCCTATTAGATATTTCACTGACAGATTCGTTGACAGATTTATTGGATGTTCAATTTTGTGATGCTGCTGTCCGAATATATCAAACTGATGGGAAATCCACCCACATCCCCAAAGTTTAGAGAAAACGTTTTATCATACTGACTTATAGTAGTCAATTTCCCAACTCATATAATGAAAGTGACCCATATTCCATGAACTTAAATTAGAAATGACTAATAATTGGTGACAATGACAGTCTTTATCCCGGAAAACAGTTAGTTTCACTGGAATATAGCTGAGATAGTTGAATGAACATGTATACTTTTGCGTTACCGGTTTGGAATATCGTTGAACTTGTATGGGCTGGGGAAAGCATTTTTCCAGTTCACGTAAATTAAAGGAATCATTGTATAAGTACAAGAGTTACACTCGGTCAGACTATCCAATATTTATTTATATTCATACATATGAATGTAAAAAAATGAACAAAACTAACCTACTACTTACTACCCGTAAGTATTTCATAGTTCGCATTTAACTCACAGTTACATGTGATTAGTGGTGTGGGAGAATTGGTATTGATTGATTTGAACTGACTATCCTTCGAACTTCACGTGCGCACACAATCCCCAGTTCATCGATTCAACCATACATTCGGAAGCACTGAACTCGATTTTTGCTCTTATTAGAGCTAATCCACCGTCCCGTCCGAGATTTGAACTCTGGACCCATCGCATGGAAGGCGTGGGCGTTACCACTGTGAAAACCATCTCCTACCATGTTTGAACCGAATTGTCAATTCATGTTTGTCCAGGTGTGATCTTCAGTGATAGTTAGTCAGTAGTAGTTATTTTTCGCAGCGCTTTTGACGATTATCCACACAACATTCACCGAATCGACTGAGATTCTAACTCCGACGCTTTGGGGAGGGGGGGGTGTTCGATCGGACCAAATCAAGTACTTGCACGGACTATCCGGACTATCTCTCAGCATCGTGCTTCAAACACGAGTTCCACATAGAACAGCGTTCATCCGTTCGTGACAATGAACGTACCTAGTGCCTGCAGACAGTTCTACTGCTATAACTGGATGGGGACATCTATTTTGGACTACTGTTCTAATTCAGCCTCGAAACACACGTGATAAACATCATGTTCTCTTTCCATCATTAACCGGGTGATCTGTGGGCCAAGGACTTCTTTGTACAACTTGGCTGAAGCATTCTCGTAATCTCTTGGATTAGCGATTATTAACTATACCGCTCCGGCCCTCGAAAAGCCTCTTCAGACGTGTTGTTTGAATTATATGGTAAACATAGTACATTCGCCAAGGTCTTTTTACAAGTTGTTCGACTATGTCTGTGTGTGTGAACGTATTTCTCTCACCGGATCTGAGTGTTCCTATCGACATCTGTTCTGAATGCGAAATCACTCTGGAGTTCGAGAGCCAGGTATGATTAGCTTAAACACTGCGCATTTGTCAACAATCAGCTTACCATGAACAAATTATAGAGCAAATGAAGTGTGAACTGAAAAGCTAGAATGCACTGTACAGCTGTTTCGACCCAATCCGTCGACCCAACCGGGGGTTCGAACCAGGGACCTCATAGACAGAACGCAAGCATGCTATCCGCTCGGTCACCGAGCAGTTGACCAAACCATTTTTCACTTTCATTTACGCGATATAACACAACCCATCGTTTGCTCTATACACCACGAATTCTCTTTATAAAACTGAGTCAAATCCTTCATTACTTTCATGTAATAAACAGTGTTTGATCTGATTCCGTGCATCGTTTTTTTATTACATGCTTTCGTGTGATGATCAGCAGATGGGGAAATCACCATAATCACGACGACCTGCTGTCCAGTGATGAAAACCGGTAACCTAATCCCTGGTACTTGGAGTGACGAACCACATAAGGCCCCGATAGGTTGGGTGTGGTATTGAACCGGACGAAAACAAAGCTGCCTACCACCATAGTTGCGTGTCGGTGGCGGGGCTCAAAACTCGGGCCACAGGGTCTAAAGCACGCATGTGACAACGACTAAACCACTACGCCACACCGTGAACCATTTCACTTAGAGGTTCGGAGTCGATCGAAAAAATACCAAATTGATCTTTCGTTGTCTAGACAGGGCAATTTATGTTTTGTGTTGACTAACGAGGAGAACTGGACGCGTTGCATGTGGACATGAACACACACAAACACGCACCTAAACCATCACTCGGACATGATCCTACATTGGCAACTGAGGCATGGTGACATACAAAAGGAAATGAATGTGTGCTTCACATAAATTCACCAGTCAAACGATCACTTAGTGCGCTATCAAAGACATTAACATGAGCTAAACGGCGGAGTTAGGGGACTGGCATTTAAAAAAATCAATCGAATGAGGTGAACTCAGACAGATTCTTCAAGAGTACCGTCATTTGGATTGAATTTGAAGGTAACTGAAATCGATACTTTTGAATGCGAGTATGAGCACACTCCAAAGCCATAGAGCAAGGCTGATTTAGAACAAAACGTAAAACCAACCTCAATATACAGTAGAACGTTGATCTAAAATCCCCGAAGCAGGATACAAATGCAAGTGGTTTCACACAAACACTCATCGGAGAAATTCAATCATCAAATCAACGGTAGGGTTGTTACCCAACCAGTCAGACTAGAGTGAACTCACTTGTAATCGTTGCCAGATCGATATCAGGCGGAGAGGATTTTCCGGGTGATTGGAATCCGATTGGCACGTGCACTGGTGAGTGAGCATGCCCAAATCGTAGGCCAAAACGGTGGTGAAACTGGAATCTTGCTACCGGTTGTACGAGATTTAGTCCAATCGTGTTGGTGAGTCATTTGTCGATTGTTTGTGGTGGTCGCGGTGATAGCGGAAGGCGTAAAAAGTTAAAACAATTTATATGAAGATGAATACAAGAGTCAGGATACACACAGATGAAGGTTGCTAGTTCAGCTCAAATCGCATAATGTAAAATCGATGTGCTCTCTTCAGTGGGACTATAAATGTTTATTGAAGTCTGTCGTGACTGTATAATATAACCACTCCTCCGATTCTTTCATCTCTGCGGTTCAGACAATTGAGATTTATTTTTTTTTTATTGCACATCACCTTTTATATCGTATATTCATAATGTTATTCTATTCTGAAAAGGTTCAACAAGCTGTTGAAAAAACGTGGTATGACACGCTCTTGTATTTGTGCTGGTTCCCGGTAAATGTTTTCGTTTGTGCAGCTGTAACTTTTCTACGGTAGATGGTGTAATAAGCGGTTTCTTATACGGCCAACGTTCCTTGTATGGGGTACTTTTGAACAAATCAGCTATTACAACACCTGTATTGATGCTGATACATGTGTCCCTGTTACAAATTATGTCACGTGATAAGTGTTACTTTCAAACAGCAATATGCGAAACCGAAACATAAGTGTCGTTTGCTACTATAATTAGTACGTTGCTAAAAAATATAATGGTTTAAATGCCAGATTTGCATACGTGCGGGTTTTGGTAAACTTGAATCCCCTTAGGTGAATAGGATTCACAGCTGGGGTTCCGGAAAAGTACGGTTCACTTCCGGTTCTGATAGATTTCCCGGTCGTGTGTTATCTTGGAATCCGTATGATAGATAGTTAGCGATACAGTTATGTGGTTGGGTGTTTTATACAATGATACTTTTGTGTCTACTCAATTCCGCCCAGTCCTATATATAGCTCAATTGTCTACATTTATTCCGGGCACCATTCTTCCCACTTCTCTCGCCAGCTGTTTTACTATTTTTTCACCAAATTCGGTAACCGAACATTACCAGGCGAAATGTCGCAAATCATAGTTGAGTAAACTAGAATTGTTCCCTACCAAGTGAAAATCATCATCATCATCATCACCATCATCATCATCATCATCATCATCATCATCATCATCATCATCATCATCATCATCATCA